TTCTTTCTTTCTTTCTTTCTTTCTTTCTTTCTTTCTTTCTTCTTTATGCTTTCTTGCTTTCTTTTTTTCTTCCCTTCTTTCTCTTTCCTTCCTCCCTCCCTCCCCCTGTTCATTCATTCGTTCCTTCCTTTCTAATATTTGTATCTTCAGGCCTCACCTGAGTGCTAGAACACAGTATATAAATCATTCTCTGAATTAACACATCAATGAATGCAGTAAAATCCAAACATAAGAAAAGGCATACTGCCATAAAGGACAGTTCAGGTTATCAGAACAATATCAGAAAGATGTCATTTATACCCATATCGAGTGTCATCCTCTCCACTGATTAGTAATCATCAGCCAGTACTTTGAGGCCAAGAAGTCACACGATCTAATATGACTTGCTCTCTTCGTCCTGTGACCGCTTTCCGCCTTGCAGGACGGCTTCCTTCAGTGAATGCCGACTGTCAGTGATGCCAGATGGGCCGCCTAGCAGAGACTCTTGGAAGAAACCATAGACCCGAAACTGAGGCTGCCCATGCCCTTTGCTTCTAGGTCTGCATGCCAGACTTCAAGGAGATGCAAGACAGGATTATCGAGAGAGGAAACCAAACACATTAGAGTGTCGCTAATGACAACAGCTGTGTGGAGAGGAAGGCCCCCAACGGCAGTCAGGAAGCCGACCGTGGCCGTCTCCCACTCCAGTGGTTGAACCTTTCGATTTGGTCTCTTGAATTTCAGTGTTACTGGCTCCTACTAGTAACACGTCAGTTTGATAAATACAGCTCGCCTTCTAGAGTTAATGGTTACAGCGGGAAAGAACAATGAACCAAGTACAAAATTTTGTGTCAGTGTGGCTACTGGTGAGAAATGCAAACTGGGGGAGGGGGGATCTCTCTAGTTTTAAAACTGCCAAAGCATTTCCTTTAGTTAAGAACCACGACTGGCAGGAGTCACGGCAGAATCTCTTACTCTTAACACATCAGCAATTACCTCTGGTTAAAGACGTTGAGATAGAACAACTCTCTTAATGAGGAGGCACTTTAATGAAGCGGGTGCACACAGGTTTGGCAGAGAAGGATCCAAGTTCCAACCCAAGGTTCCCACATGCTAACGTTATGTCCCTTGGCAAGTGTCTCAGACCCTTAAAATTCAGATCATGTGTTCCCATGCCACGGCTGGACCTCAGGACTTCAGTATGTAGAAACAGATCTTTAGCATTCTTCATTTCAATCTCCACAAATGGGGGAGAGGAAGAGAGAGAGAAAAAGAAACTGGTCTTAAAAATATGGCGGGGCTGCAACCCCGCTAGAGAATCTAATGAAACTATGGAAACCGTCTCCATTCTTGAAGCACAGTAGGGAAAATTCGATCTTACATGTTTACTGTTAGCAACATTTAACATCTATAAACTTTTTAAGATTTAAATTTACATGCCAAATCTGGCACCCTGATTTCAGAGCCTCTTTCCCAGCAAAGCCCCGGAATGGTTCACGGACCTCTGATTAAGAACAAATGAGACCGAAGCTTTGGGGTTTGTTTCCTTATGAGTCATTTCATTTCACAGGCAGGAAAGTCTGTTCTCTGGCCAAAGACCACATCAGCAGCCCTGGCCCACAAATCCGGTCGTCAGGGAGCTGGATGAGAGGGGACAAAACACTCAGACCACTGTCACCACTGCTGACAATGCCCTTCAAAGCCCACCTGCCCCGCCCCCAAATGGGACTTTGGTCTCCCCGTTTAATTGCCATTCCTTGGAGGGATTAGAGAAAAATAGGCTCCAGTCCTGCATGCAGTTCAGAATGCCTCTTCGAGGTGCTTGTTATCTTGCATTTAATCGCGGCCCTCTGAGATGTTAAAAACTAAGCAGACTGAAAGTCTAAAGGAAATAAAGCAAATGCAATGAAATATGTGAACATGATCGTGGCGAAGACCTGCAGCCACGGCAAGGATGCTTACGCTGGAGCCCCTGTGCAGCAGGTAACCAAGACAACCGGCTCTGAGGGAGCAAGGCCAGGCTGGCGGCGTTACTGATGGCCGTGAATCTGTTTGCAAAGTGCTCTTCGGGATTATATAATGTTTCCAGTCTTAAAGTCAGGGACACACGATACGTCTGTAGAAAATTAGCTGGTTCCTCTCCGCGGCCGCAGCCCAGCCCCCACATCAGCCGCCTGCGGCTTCCCCGGAGCCCCCAGACCCAGACGACCACAAACCCAAGGCTGGCGCTGGAGAGAGCTGCAGCCGCGTCAGCATTTCCAGTGCCCGCCTGCTTCCCATCAGACCCCACTCGGGCGAGGTCCTCCGCAGGGACCGGCCAGCACGAAGGCCGGAATGTCCACATCCAGATGGGGGAGTCTGTGACTTTTGCGCTCATGTTCTCCACAGGTAAGGTGACACAGAGTCAGATGTGAACGGTATGCCCCTGACTTGTCTGGGGTGACAGGCCTGTCAGTGGTTGGAGGTGTTGGTCCCTCGGCTGCCAAGCCCCAGGCCTGGCCTGGCTTCCTGCTGGCAGCTGCTCATGCTGGAAACAGAGCCAGGGTCTCCATGGTGTCCTCACGGAGCATGAGGCCAGCTACTTATCCAGAGACAGCCACAGAGAAAAAGCTGTGAGAACGTCCCTGGGCAGAACCCAGGGGGCCTGGCTCCCCAGCGGTGGTCACTGTGACCTGGGGAGGGGTCGAGGTCAGCACCTGGGTCACTGCTATGAAGCCTCTGAGGGAAAGGCTGCCATCTCAGCCTCTGACAAGCCCCTGATCCAGCCCAGCTTGCTGCTGCGGAAAGCAACAGCCCAGGAGTCCTCCCCGACGCCATCCGCCTCTGCACACACAGGCGGCCGTCTCCTCTGGCGGCCCAAGCGCACTGCAGAGCCCTGGGGACAGCCCCCCCGAAACTGGACCTGGGTGGGAGCAAACAAGCAGTGGAGGAGGACAACCTCACAGTGACCGTTTCCGCACCCTCCCGGCCTGGCCTGGTGTCTGGCCTTCTGCACGTCCCAGTCAGTCATGACGGTCAGGTCGTGTGGCTCCACAGAGACAGTGCAGGAGGCAGGACTGACTGGTAGGATGATGTAGGTGGCCAGGTGCGAGGAGAGATGGAGACCCACAGGACCCCATGAAAGGCCCGAGCTGCTGGGTAGCGGAAGGGGCGCACCGTGGAGGGACACGCCCAAAGGGAGGCCCCCTCCCACTGCATCTCTTCGGGCACTGGTCCCAGTACCTTCGGGAGGAATAGAAGCCTTTCCTCACAGCTCCTCGGGTCCCAGCACGCTGGCCTAGGTGAGCCCAGCTCAGAGCTTGTCAGCTCCCGGCTTTCAGCTTCCTCTCAGTCACAGGTGTGTGCATGGGTGTCCGTGTGCGTGCGTGTGCGTGTGTGTGCGTGTGTATGCACTGAGTCCCACCAGGCTCTGTCTCTTTAAAGTCCCGTTAAAGCACTGACTTGCCTACCCTGACTCGGGAAGTTTCTGAACCCCTGGAGTGTGGATGGTGTCTTTGCTTGAAGCCAGGCCAAAGCCAGGCCAGCTACCTGCCGGGCACGACCCATCAGAGCCCACCTGCTTCTGTTCACTGTCATGGTGGCCCGGCCCGGTGCCCACTGATCTAGGAGGGCTCCCAGGGACAGTGCTGACCATGGCGAGGAAGGTCAGGGAGTCTGCTTTCTGCTTTTGAAATCCACATCCCTCCCTCCCTGCAGCTCTAATGGGTTCACAAGCAGAGCCTCTGCTCCTTCCCCCACCCCACCCATTCGCAGCATCTTCGCACAGCTCCAGACTGTAAATACAGCTCAAAAACTCAGCGCATACGTTCATACTCTGTATGCTCTTACGCTCTGTGCTGGGACAAACACCAACGCCGGAGCTCAGAGGCTCACACAGGGCTTGGTCCCAGGCAGGGCAGGCCCCTTTGGGGTGGCTTTTGTGAACTAAGTGATGCCCTCCCTCTGGTTAGGACCCCAGCTCCAAGGGAGCCCAGGGGCCTCTGCCCAGGTGAGACCCTGGCAGAATGGGCCAAGTCACCCTTCTGGCCCCCACATCCTCAAACAGGCCCAGCCTGGGGGTCCAGATAGCAGCCGTCTGCTCACCAGCCTCAGCCCACAGGGGCTGCCAAGAGGGGGCTTGGGGTCAGCATGGGGCTCTCTCTCCTGTCCTGTCCCCACCCCCCACCAAGCCTTGTAGAGGACTGGGTTGGCAGCGGTGGGTGGGGACCTGACCACTGTCAGAAAGTCTTATGCAGGGCTCCCCTTTCCTGTGCTAAGCAGCAGAGGGGCCGTCAGGCTCTGGACTCCGGAAAGCCCTGGAGGCAGGTTCTCTGCAGGCATTCAGTAGAGCCAGACGCCAGCAGGCCCTGCGCGGCCTGCGTTTTGGTGACGGGTTATTCTGATGCTCAGCCAGCATGGTGCTGGGGACGCTCAAGCCGATGTACAAAAGCCATGGGATGATTCCAGTTTTCTATATAAAATGAATTGATAGCCAGGCGTGGTGCTGCATGCCAGTAATCCCCGCATTCTGGGAGGCTGAGGAAGGAGGATCACTGAGTTCAAGATCAGCCTACAGTAAATGGTAAGACTGTGTCTCAAAAAACCCGAAAGTAAAATAAAATACAATTGCTAAAAGTGTACTATTAAATCGTATAAAATATAAGACAGTGCATTACATTAAAAGCACAGGTCATAAACACTCAGACCCATTGCTTCCTAGCTCTTTTACTAGATTTTAGCATCCGCCACACTATGTCGTGTGTGTGTCCACCGTGTTTGTAAGGTGGCGGCACGGTGCCATGCGGCAAGTCCCTGGTGAGCTGAGTTACAGTGGTGACTTTTTTGACTTTGGGTACCAAGCGAGCATGAAAGCACAGGCCCAGGCAAACGCTACAAACCCGGGGTTTGCTTGTTTTGTTGATTTTCTTGACTTGACAGTCCATGGTGAGTAACAAAAACTTGAGGAAACTTTTCTGAGAATTTATAACTATTCAATACCCAACTGAGCAGAAGCCACTCCCGTCAAGGACTAAGACTGTAGTTTTAACGGATGTCTTGTTTCTCTTTGATCCTCCCCTTAACATAAATGAAAATATCCACTCTTGTCCATGCCAATGCTGAGCTCATAGTTATCTACAGCCCCAGCCCGGCTATTCTTTGCCTCAGAATGGCAAAAATCAGCGAGAGCTTTCTATGAGACCAAACTGGCTGGTGGGCATTGGTGATAAAGAATAGTGTGTGTTTCGTTACTATGTACAAGTTATGTATTACACAGCCTTCATATCAGTGAATTTAATAATAAACCTATGAATGTGTATGGTACATCTGTGTCCTGGAAAGCTGTTGTCCAGTGTTTCCAGTACACACCACTCTCAATCTACCAGATACCTATCTTGACCTACACTCTGTCTACCACCCTGACAGTGGCTCAGAGCCCACAAGATGGAGAGGCAGCTAGAAGCCACAAAATGGAAATCTTCCCTTGTCCATGTTAGTGCATAGAAAAAGGACAGTCCAGCCTTTTATACCCAAGTAAAACCATGAATAAGGGTTATAACTTGTAAATCTTTCTTACTGTATAATATTTTTTAAAGTTATTTTTTAAAAAATAAATTTGTATCACAGAAGTGGCAGGAATAAAATGGAATAAAATGACATATATTCTTTACAGTACAAAGTAGAATATTTGCAAAAGTAGACAACTGAAACTTAAGCATTTTGTCTACTGTCATAGACCACAGCTGAACGTTTCACCATAGGATTTTTCATTCATTGATCACAGACAGGGAGCTTTTAGCACAGCACTCTTAGGAAGCATCAGGCTCTTCCAGAAATGTTGTCCTGTTTCATTCATTCATACATTTCCTGGTGTTTCCGAAAGAAATAATTGAGGACACTCATAAAAGGAAATACAATACAAGAAGAGAGGAGAGAAGATAGATGAAGAAATCAGACTGGAATGTAAATTAGGGCAGGAAGCTAATGTGGTGGAAAGCTGATACAGAGACTACACGCAGTTGCTAATGGTTAGGTACAAGCTTGGCCCTGCATGTTCCAGAGTCCACAGCAGAGTAGAAATGATTGGGATTAGGGTTAGTGCTTGAGAGTCACACCCTGCCCTGGAGAGGCCGTGAACTTCCAGATCTAGAGTCTGAGAACAATTGTCCTGGGGCTCCTTCCAGAAGGGTCTTGGACAAAAAGTGGTGAGCTGCAGTAAACATAAACACGACCTGTGAGTTTCCCACTTTGTTCATTATGCAGCCATCAGCCCAAGCCAGGGACAGCGTGCCCACAACACGAAAGGATCCCCAAGCCCAACCTAGGGAACATGCTTCTCTGAGCCGTCCTAGTGCTGAGATCCAAACACAACTGGTGGTCAGCTTGACCCGGGAATACCCCAAACATCTAGCTCCATGCTTCTCCACTGCAGTAAACTCCTCTCTAGAAACATCACTAAACGATGGTTTCCTTTTTGAGATTTCCAAATAAATATTGTGCATGAAAGAAATTGTCATATAAAGTGTCCTGTCTAACTACAAAGATCTCCCAGTGACTTTGATACTGAGAATTAAATGGCATTAGAAGAATGGAGGTGGAGCTTTCTGTAAAGGTGCAACTCGCCTAAGGACTTGAGCTTTGGGTCTTAACTTGGAGAAGGTCACAGTGTGCTATTATCACACATAAAGAAGTAAGTCCTAGAGGATACAATCAGCCTGAGATAGGTCAGGCTGCTGGCAGGCAGTGAGGTGAGACTACTGTTATCTTCTGAAGAGACTCTGGTTTGCCCAAGGTCGCACAGCCATTGTCTTGGTTACTTTTTTCTCGCTGCTGGGACAAAATACCTGATGCCCAAAATTAAGGAAGGAAAGGTTTATTTCGCTTACAGTTTGTGGAAGGTTCAGCCCATACTTGGCAGATTATAAGGCACAGTGGCACATGGCAAAGAGCTAACTCAGGGCGGCAGAACACAGCTAAGCCGCAAGCACACACCAGGGTGGAATGGGGGAGGAATGTCCTCAAGCACTCTTTTCCTCTCCCTTACATATGCAAACTATCCACCCCAGGGCGGGTGTAGCTCTCACACCCATAATCATTCAACTCTAATAGCCTGCCCCATGGTCGCATGAGGCTTTGGAGGGGACACACAGCCATAAACCATAACAGCCATGGAGAGGCAGGACTGAAGTTTGAACTCCCGCCCTCTGGTCCTCAGGCTGAGGGTTCAGCCTCCAACCTACAGGACCTCATGGACATGACTGCTTTAACTAACTCCTGTGTCCAAATCCTTTCCACACTTCGTGTCCACTGCACACTGAACGATAAATGTAAATTACCCTCATTGAATATTGGATATGATGACTCCAAACATTACTGGACTGGTACACATATTTGGGAAGCTGATGAAAGCTACAGATGCTCTTAACAGAGAATCTTCACCCTCACAAAATTGCCTGCAAGTTTAGGGACCTCACAGGCTCCAGGAAACCACCAGACATGTCAGTCTTAAAGTTCAGAACCAGTATATCCCAGTAAGCAGGACACATCTCACATCCTGAGGAAGCTCCAGATGGATAAGTATTATATGTGCACATGCACACACCTACCCGGCACCTCAGAGATCCTGCGAGGGACGCCTCAAGTTCTGGAGCCCAGCTGGGTCTTGTTTCCCTTCTAGTCCTGGCTCGTCCCCACCTCAGGTGTCAAGTGTGCAAAGGGACCAGCAGAGATTGGTGACAGCAAGACCTGCAAGAACTCCCTTGTGACCCAAGTTTGTGGAACGCAGTGTTCTTTAGTGAGGGATACTGGAGCCACACTGGATTCAAGGAGCCTCCTCTATGTGGCAAGCTCTGGACTTGTTCCTGTGGTTCTTTTTGGTGCTTGCATCTGTGCGGAGGTTGCTGATGTGGCTCCCATTTTACAGGGAGGAACAAGGGTCATAGAGCAGCTAGATCACTGCTAATGTAAACTTCTGCTGTTCTGCAATTCCTCCTCAAAACTTACAATTGGAGAAACTGCTCAAAAAGGGAAGAATAACTGGGATGGGGAAAGGAGAAAAGAAGGGAGGAATCTATACATATACATGATAGCTAAGATAATTGTACTACTAATTTCTATTAGTTCATTGAAAGGAACAGTTAGTGCTTATATTGTTTGATCAGTCTTACATGACCATATCTGGTCATCTGAGCAGTTACTTTGAAGATAATAATATGCAATATAATAACCATTATTAATTTCCTATCGCCTTGTTTTGAAATTCTGTATCATTTAATTTTTACATTATTGTCTTTAAAATAAAAATATAAAAAACAAAAATAATTTTTAAAGTCGGACTAAAAAAAGCCAAACCTGTCATTGAGACTAACTGCAAAAGTCAGACAATCCAAACAGAGGACAGTCTTGCACAGACTTGACTTTCAAAACTGTCAAGCTCACGAAGGATGAGGGAAGATGGGACAACTAGTGCAGATCAGAGGAAACTAAGAGACTGAGACAAACCAGAACATACATCCTAGATTGAATCCTAGAGCAACAGCAGCAAAAGTCATTAGTGGAAAAATAGGTTAAATCCACACAAAGTCTCAAGTCTAACTAATGCCACTGTATTGATGTTAGCCCTGTAGCTCCGGCAGATGTAGTGTGGTTAAGTTAGATGGTAACTTAGCTGAAAATCACATTTGTCATTTCTCAGCAAATCCAGAATTACTCTAAAATAAAAAGGTTTTTTTTAATAAACTATATTCATCCTGCCTCAGAGTAGAAGTGCTCCAATGCTGTTTACTCTT